TTCATAAATTCAATTGTTTTAATATTCATCAAATTTGCTAAAGTAAGTATTAACGAAATGATTATTTAAAAATAATTACTTATCATTTGTTTATCATACAAAAATGTGGGAAAATAAATTCTTAGTCCGGGAGAATAAACCTCTGCAGCTGAAATTTTCTTTTTCTTTTAAAATACATTTCTGTGGCCGTACACATATATCAGGATAAAATAAAAAATAATATATTAAAATATTAAACACGCTCAGAATCTGTGATGTACAGAGTAAATGGTCCCAGGTGCAAATTAATAATTCAAAAAGACAAAGAATTGTGATGAAGGGGATCTGCTTAATGTCAACGTTAAATAGCTACCAGTTGACAGCTGCAAAAAAGGTACACCGGGCTTGAAGCGTATTTATAATAGCTCTGGAAGGCAAGAGACATGGAGAATCCAAAAAGAAAAGAAGACGGCGCCTGGAGTATATGGAAGGCTTAACGACATTAATCCAAGCTCTGCATTTATCAATCTGTCATTACACCGGAATAAAACATCTTTTTAATTGCTCCCGGGGGTAATTAAAGTCCTTCTTTAATAACTGCCATCTGTATAAGCAAGATTATCTTCTGAGATTCGTCAAAGCTTTTCTCTAGCTTTGGCAGATAGGCATTTCGAAATTAGACTCGTTATATATATATATATATATATATATATATATTCTAAAGCTACAATGGATTATATAGAAGTGGAATCAGAAAAACCAACACGAGTAACCAAAACGTGATTGGGCTATGCAAAAGTATTCCATCAATTCCGTTGCAATTCCTGAAGTATAAAAAACAAACGGTACCACTACGATCCATGAAGGATTTTGGATTCAGTAGTATTTAGGAATACTACTGTTTCTCGGTCAATGGTTGTTCAAGGAGGTGTTTTGACCGAGATCAAGTATTCCTTTATAATCAATTATTAAATTAAGGATACCCATTTAATAGAGGCTGTGTGTGGCCCAGGAGAGTCTTTCCTGATAGCGGGGTTTCCTACGGCAGATGAAAGAGAATAAACTATTTGTCTGCTATGAGCCGGGATTCGAACCTGTGACCCTGGACATTGGAAGCTTAGCGCCCTACCTCTCAGCTACCTCACTCTTAAACATTAAGACTACTAATGTCTTGAAACGGCACCTATTATATGGACAACTTCCAATAGTTGATAAAAAATGGGTAAGGTTAACTTCACGGTAGTTATAGAGAATAGGCTAAATTCAAAAATAAGTAGGCTAAAGGACTTCATATTGGAAGATCCTAGACTATCCGTACAATCCATTAAATAATAAAATGAATCTCGTCAATGCATCACAGAACGCTATTTCACACCTAATTCTATTATCGGGTCTTAAGTTATCAAACTAAAATAATGTCAACTAAAAGTTCACAAACTAAAGGAAACAAAATATTTGAATGTTTCTTCCCAACGCTAGTGTTTAGATTTTTGTTTCTTATGTTTCCCATCTGTTGTCGGTAACAAGAGAAATAAAAAACAAAAACTTGGGCTTATTGCCAAGTTAGATAATTATGTTTGTGAAATGTCTAAGCGCACCTTGAGGTCATTACCTTATCTTTTTCCCACCAATAAACACGACTTGATATAATTTTAACAACATAAACTTCTTTAAGTGTCTTCTCTCAAAAGCAAATTATAAAAAGTTTTTTAAAACAATAGTAGTGGTAAACAATAGCAATACGATGCAGCTCCACAAGAACCTAGAACTACCGACTGTGACAAGACTTTATCACATGCAGGCACGTCAATTTTTTTTTTTATAACCTGCAATACGCGACTGACCCTTTTTTTAATATACTAACTCCACGGGACGGCCACGGAGGTGGCAAACGTGTACAAAAAGCCTCAGACTTGACTAGACTGAGGACTACTAGCTAACAACTCCGATAAGACAACTAGTGAGCTCCATCACTAGCACGTTGCCCAACTGTAAGACTGAGACGCGTATTGGTCTTGCAAACTCAGTCTTGGTCTTTTGACTAAGACCAAGACCAATTTTGAGCTACACTAATCACTAGACTATCGATTTAGTACTTTTCCAATTTATGAAACCTTTGGACTCCTCATAACTCCTTTAAAATTCATACAATCTTTGCAGTACAAGTGACTCCATCCCATAAAGTTAAAAATGTGAATAACGTCAATTACTCAACTTTGACGATAAGAAAAAAAAATAAATACGCGGTGCACCATATATTTCTGGTTTGTCAAGCTAGAAAACAAAATTGCAATGTTTTCCATTTATTTTCTACGCAAATTTCATTTAGATTTAATAACAATAATATAAAAATTTTGGGAGACAAGGAGGAAGATGTCATCATTCTCTTTCAATATTTATTAGAAACAAAGCACTATAACAGAATATAAAAACCAAAAATTACCGCCAATGACCCTCTAGGGTAAAGGCAAATACAAATTTAAAAAAATACAACAATACGTTATTCTTTTTTCGTTATCCAAATATCGCTACTTTTTCTGCAAAAGGTCGTATGAAACAATTTTACATATTTATTCTCTTTGTACTAAAGTTGGCACTTTGTAGTGTGCAACTGCTGTAAGTAGTCTGCTAAGTAGGAAAATAACAGAGGAAAATAAAATGTGAAACTAAATAATAAATCTTAAAGAAATAATCGTTTCGATGATTTTCCGTAAAAAAACTAAATTTTTACATACTACCTTTTGCACTAACTATTTTTATTTTGAAATATGCTTGTATTTTTAAATATATGCGTTATAAGTATTACAGTTTTAAATTCAAGTCCACTTCATTGAAATAAAATAAGGTTTCTTGAAATAAAATGGACGACAGGTAAAAACTGATACGAACAATGTGCAGTGCTCCATACTAACTTCACAATCCCTAACAAATCTCCTTTGACTTTGAACGGACAAAGATGTAAGCCTGCTTACACCGAAGTGTACCACATTTATAAGTACTGTTAGGCTCAACATGTGTGTGTACATGTGTACGTGTAGAGAGTGGCTGTGAGTGCACTCAATACGTGAGAGACCTACGTGTACAAACAGCGTTTAGCGAAACGAGTTAGTAGATCTACCGCAGTGTTGCCTTTCTGGTATACTATAGAGTGTCTTCAACGGTATAAAAGTAAGCGAAAAAATAGAGGCAAATAAAAAATTACACAGGGAATAGTAACGGCAATGACTGATTTAACGAGAAAAAAAAGTCAGTGACATGTTAATATTGAATAATATCAAATATAAAAAAAATACTTTAAGGTCATAATAATAAAAAAAAAAATTAAAAACCGAGAGTGTACTCAAGAATGGGTTAATAAATATTCCTAACTGAACTAGAACATCCAATGACAAAATAGATTCCTCGTATATTTCTTTGATAAAGCAATATTGAAGTAATCCTTTCACTCAAGCCTGTACCATCAATGGCTATAGGATTTGGCTTCTGAATGCAGAAGACAGATCCCTTATCATGATTATTTCAGTACCATTTTTAAAAATAATTTTCTCTAAATAACAATTAACTATAACGCAGATTTAATAGTGGTAAGTTATTCATCCAATCCTAACCAATGTCGGAAAAATTCTGTCCAGAAAATAAAAAACTCGTGACCTTACGGTTCGTAGTAGTAGCGATGTTAAACCACCAAACCACATGAGTGGCCTTGCGAACGGTATATAATGATTCTAATTCAGGCCAAAATTTTCAACCAATGTTTCACATCCGAAGAGTTAGTTTGATTTTATGTATAATTTTTGGAATAAAAAATATACAAATTTAATTACAAATACAAATATAAAATGGTTGAAAAAATTACATTAGATATATTTAAAAAATACAAGATTTCATATAAATGGATTTCTCAAAACTTGGGGACAATGTTATAATGATAAGCTGACGAGAAAAGAACTGAACGTATTTGATTCACTGAAAAGAGCTGTGGCGGAGATCGTGATTGGTTGAAATGAACCACCGCTCGCCTCTCAGAATTATAAGCATAGAAGGAACATGATCATCACTCACTTAATATGTGAAGATCGAGAGATAGTAGTTCACTTGTATATTACAAGAAAAAGATACCACACTTCATCTACCAAACATTAGGTTAACCTTAAGTACAACTACCTTTTTTAATCATTTTATCAGCTGCTAACTCATCTGTTAAATTGGATTGGCGAATAAATCCCTTCGGTTCTTCTGACTGGAATAAAATCGGTGTATTATAGACGTAAAATTAATTTTAATTTAAAATGTATTGACTATTACTAAATATGGCCTGTTCCCATCTTTCCACTAACTGCATAATACCACGTTCATAAATCTGGGGTTAATTGTTAAAAAACGCGGTTTTGATGCAGGTACCGAAATAAGCGGTAGTAGCTTGGAGCTAGATCTGGTGAATAAACCTGAAGAGCACACCAATTTTAACAGATTCGTGCGGTTAAGGCATCATCCCTATAAACATTCCTAATTATTTTCTGCAGCACGTTTTTTAAAAAATAATACGGAAAAATATGCCGATAATGAATGATATATATCTTCCTTAATCATGGTACAATAGTATAAAACACAATACTAATCTAATTTCAACAAGAGCTAACAAAAATGGTTTATGACTTGCTACAAATAGAATAAACAATCCACTTTAGAGATTAATTCGTCAGATAAGAAATATAGTAGTAACATAAAAGTAAACCTAATGGACTAATTCGACAATCGAATATTTTTACACACCCATTTATTCACTAGCAACATGAGTGTATATTATTTATTGAATTTTTGATTCGAAATGAAATCTCATTGTTTCGGAATTTGTAATGTCGTTGATTGAATGAATGCAGTAAAGAGGATATGACTATCAGTACCCTACCTTCCTCCCCCCCCTTCAAGATCGTTTCCATGCCATATCCTCACGTCGTCCTTGGGCGGTGGCCAAGTGCACAAGAACTGCTAACGGGACAGACCATCCCGGGCGCCACCTTTCACTCCCATTCTAGATCCAGCTTCTGGAGCATGGAGTTCTCCAAGAAGGTTAACGGCGGTAAGAGAGGAACATCGTATCTAAATCCTCGTCGAATATCACGATTAGTAATTTCGGACCTCATTAGCTTCTTGTAGCTTTAAAGTATTTTTTGGAAGCTTCAGGCCAAGATTTTTGTTTTTGTGTAAAGACCAGATAAATAATGCGAATACATTGAGGGAGGGATAAATCATGCAATTAAACTTTTACTTACTTCATATTAAAATTATCGAACTCCTCTTGCTGTTCGTTGATAGATGCTTCCAAATCCAGGTAAGCACCGTAGTCGCCATCTTTGTACAATTGCAACGCTGAATCATCAACCTAGAACAGAATAGTCAAACATGAAAATGTATACAGGAGATATATTAGTACAAATATATAGATATATATAAGATACAGGTCAACTATTAATATAAAAACAGAATCTTAACGATAAAATGTAGGGAAAAATATCTTGTATTTTCGTTTAAAAAAAGATTTTATTTAGAAATAGAAAATAAATTTTATTCTGGGACAAAGTTACTAAAGAATAACAATTATGAACAAAAAACATAAACCACATCTGGCCAAATAGATATATGACATATTTTGGAGGATGATAATATTTTGCATTTCTCTCCTTGTTGATGTGGAAATTATTATATGTTCTTTGTAGTACATATAATAATTAATTAGTACATGACAATTCAGGGCTCGGATTAGTTTAATTATTAAGGTTTCCTAAGAAATAAAAATAAAAAAGTGTGAATAATGTTTTTGCACTAAAATTATCTTTAAATTCAGCAGAAATAAATAAGGGATCTATATCCCTCTATTAAGGAGTCTAATTATAGTTGTTTTTAAATTATTTTTTGTCCGCCAGTAAAATAACAAAAACTTTCAGGATTTAGTTACGATGCCTTAAGAATAGTGTTGTCCAAAATCGATCTTGGTTTTGCACTTTGCAAGACCAACACCAAGACTGGTAAAATAAATTCGTTTTTCTGAATAAAAATAGTTACTAATATTCGATAATTTTATTTACTATATGTAAAGAATTGGTATAAAAATAATACTTTTGCATTTAACTCTTCCAACTTTCATTTGGGCTTAGTTAGGTTTTCCCTACCTGAAAAATTACCGTAATACCTATATAGTAACAAGCTAATAAATAATTTCAACAACAAAACCAAGATCAAGACAAGAGTAAGCAAGATTATGACTCGTCTTGGTCTCGCATTTGGGCAACACTACTTAAGAGGTCGAGGCGTTGTTATCACGGCCGACAGAACCAAACAAGAAGATAAGAAAGAAGATAAAGGCTTACACCACCGATCCCTTGAAAGACAGTCTCTAGAAGGTGCCGAAGACCGCCTGATCCATATGCAAGAGCTTGCGTACTCATTACCGGGCCATTGGGAAGGTGGGTGGCGCACCATTCGGAGTACGGCGATCTGGGAGGACAATGGTCTCTTGCAAATGAAGGGGTCTTGTTAGCTGAGGCTGAGTGTGGTCCGTCGGTATTCTTTGTGGGGTCGGATACTGAGGATACTCAGAGTGACTCTGGTTTCTTAAAAAATAAAAAAGACATAGCCTATACTGATTGATACTGAAAAATGGTCTTATATGAACATTTGACAGACAAAAATAGTTAAATAGATGTTAAAAAAAGAACTCTATATAACGAATATATTATCTCGTGAAAAAATTTCGATTAATTTTCAGTAATACTTTCCTTTTTCTTTTTTAATCGTACTTACTTATTGAGAAATATTAAGATCTATCTCAATAAAGAGCATTCATAATAGTGTTCAGAGAATACATTCACACTCTATAAATAATAAATAAAAATAATAAAAGTAAATGTAAACAAACAAAAAGAAAATAACTGCTTAAATATAAGCATACTTCGTTGATAACCAACAGGTTTTACGCCTTTACTATACAACCGACAAGCAAACTTTTATATAATATACAAAAAGTTCATTCACTTAGAACTCCGAGTCAAGCCCCAGGAAACACGAGCCAAGGGAAACTCCTTACCCGTGAAAGAAAGGCAAGACTCAAGGAGATCCCAGTGCCTCTAACTAAGCCGAACTACAGTAATATAAAAACTTTCGAGTCTATTCCACATGATTTTACAGGAGACCCATAAAACTAGGCAACTTATAGAGAAGATTATGAGCTTACAAGTTTTTAAAAAAACGATGGAATACGAAGTCCTGATTAATTTTAATTTATTGAAAAATTGCAATTCTTTATCATTATAATATTAAAATAAATTAAACATATTTTTGTGTGATATTGAGTATGTGGCTTGATACTCCTACCACTTATTTTCTGGTTCTTCGGTCTTCTTAATTAGAGGAGGTTTTAGTGATCAATCCCGAATAATTCCTTCAAACCCGTACACGATAGCTTCGTGTACTTAGTTATCTTTACTACATTTTTACACTACTTTTACTAAATATAAAGGTTTTAAAAGAGGTTACATCTCAGAAAATTTCATACTTTTAAATAACCAAAGCAATTATTATTAGCCATTCTTATGAACTTTATAAAGCACCATTGTAGATACAAATTACATGTCTATGTTTTTAAAGGTTCCTACAATAAATAGAAACTTTTAGTATAAAGAGATTCTACTGTAAAAAGAACAGATTAAGAGAAAGTAACTGGGTTCTAAATATTTAGAGAACACGAATACTAAATTTCACCCCTGGCATCACTGAACCGGATCAAAGGCAGGTAAGAAAAGCCAGTAGAAGAAACCATAGCGATCGAGGCTTGGACTACTTTGAGTGGTTTCTTAAAACGCTAATAGTAATTATTTATAGCGGACACTGAGGAAGGCACTTAATCTCAAACTATGGGCGGTTTAATGGCGTGGAGAAAGGCATTACCCTTTCGAAAACTTCTTCATCAGGCCAAAAACGGTAGAGCAAATGGTGGCCATATTTAGAGGCGGAGTGATGCGGCGGGCTCGACGAATTTCACAATAATTAATAACCGAGTTTCTACATGCAGCAGTTCCTCATATGTACAACATTAAGAGCATTTTTTTTTTTTTTTTTTTGTTCTTCCCTACCTCTTCTTTTAGGTTATACGAAGTTTTCTCGGGTCTGGGAGGGGAGGTGAGAGTGGGAAATTCAAAATTCCCTCCTGGCACCGGGACGCGAACTCGTACTTTTTTAATCTCTCATAACATCGGTTATGTGGTTGCCGGGCAACCCTTCAACATTAAGAGCAGATATTCTCTACCAAGAATGTATATGGGGGCTGGGGTAACCATGCGGGCTAAGGCGCTTGCAATAGATAACCAAGTTAAGCAACACCAAGCGTGGTTAGCACTTGGATGGGTGACCGCTCGATTTCTGTTGCCGTCCATCAGGGAAAGCCACGCTGCCTGAGATCTCTCCCGCGGGTATGTGAGACCCGTCAGGCTACTGGAAGCAATTCAAACCGACCAGGCGTAGGACTGATGACCCTCGTGTTCTTAAATCAGGAATCTAGGATACCACATCTCGCAGTCAAAGATCTGCACGGTCTGTAGCACCAACAGAAATATATATATATATATATATATATATATATATATATATATATATATATATATATATATATATATATATATATATATATATATAGAAACACCTAGGAACGGACATTAAAATATAAGAAATCTCAGATTTCTGTCATTCGATATATAAAATATCGATCTAAAGATAACAGAGTATTCACTAATTGTTATCAGGAACTTGGGAGAATGAAGTTAAGAAAGTCGATAAGTATGTAATTGAATATTTGTAATTATGTCTGTTTTTCGGTTACTAACCTAAGTGTGATGCATAGATAGTAAAGCTGCGATACAAGCGACAATAAGAGCGAAGAGCGACGAAAACAAACACATGCACTTCAAGAGCGGGGAAAAGAACAATGCGACAATGAGCACTGCTACAAGGAATAAAACCGTTTGCATGTTTACATCGCTAGGTTTTGTCCGAAATGGGTGTTCAACTCCTTATTACTGAAGCGTTTGATAACCAATATTGCAGAAGTTGAAACTAACTGTTGCAAAAATATTCAAAAGTCTAATTTATAGTTGTTTCCAAGTGAAATTAACAAAAACATTAAGAAACTAAAATAAATGTATCATTTAATGATTATCAGTTTTCTTAAAAGATGATGCAATAAAATATTTCCTTATTGTACCTTTCTATTTTTCTATTCTATATTCATTTTTTGCTTTATTTATTTACTATTATTTTTTATTATTATTTTTTAAATATTGTTTTTTATTATTTCATTTCATCCTTTTCTAAGTTGTATATTATAAAAACATAGAGCATTTATGTAAGTATAAGGACAAAATATAAAGTGCTACGGAAAAAATAATAAATAAATAAAACAGCAGAAATTTGTTCTATTGAGTTTTTTTATTTAATGTTTACAATGCGATGTGATTCTGTTTGCTCACAGCTCACTTTGCCGGGTACTCTTATTACTAAGCACTTATTGTCGCTTTTATCGCCGCTCCACTAATCGCAGTCGCCCTAAGGAAAACTAAAAAGAATGAAAATTTCTCTAAAAAAAAAAGAAAACAACAATACATATTCAAAATGAAAACAAAAATCAAGTGTGTTACATAAAATCAAAAAAATGTTACAGAATAGATTAAAACAAAATTATCTGTTTCCTATAAAAGTATAGGTCTTCCTTATATTTATTTATCAATTATTACTTTTTCCTAATAACACTCTATTTATATATTTTTTATAAGCACGAAGAAATTATGTTAGAGAAAAAAAAAAAGAAAGGGTTCTGAGACAGACCAGCGAGCTGAGGCCGAGATAGAAGAGTGGTCCTACAGGACAAGAAGGGCCGAGCTACTGGTTCCAGTAATTTATGTACGACGCCCCAGCCGTATTTATACCCAACATTTAAATGCCTCTGACCGGGAATAAATATTCTCATTAGCCCTCATTGCTCCTCAAGGACAACGGGTCTGCTACAAGGTCGAATGTCCTTGTTCTTCTACTTCTTGTCCGTATCTAGTTGGTCATAGTCATCCAGCCTATCTCGGCTATATATTATTGGAGTTCCAAGATGTGGTACCTCATACGTCGTTAATGACACTTAAACTCCGTCGACATGTCAACGTCATAGTGCGCCTTACAAGCCTCTTTATATCAAATTATTGACTTCCCTCTAAGACTTAGGGGCTTCATCTTGTCATAACCTATAACTTTTCTAATTACAAAAAGTCTTGGAAATGGAGTGTTTGCAATCAGGAAATCGGTGAACTTTATTTATTTAATGAGATACTAAAATCTCATGAACACCTATTTACTCACGATTCAACTTGAGTCGTAAGATAATTTGATCACAAAATCGAGAAACAAGCTGGCCTATAAAATATTAGGCTGTTTCTCGTGAACTCCAATCCCAACATGTAAAAATAACGAGGTTATATACACCAAACGTTTTTTCGATTTTGGGATCAAATCATCTTACGATTTAAGTGGAAAGCAAATTAGTATTCATGAGTTTTTAGTATCTCATTAAATGAGTAAAACGATCCATTTTTGAGAATCATCGTAGATAAAGAAGTTGCAAGTTACGATATGATTAGGTAATTCACAAAGTTTTAAACGAATGTTAAAAATTAGATAAGTGGTTTGTACCACGGACTAATACAAGTAACAGTTATTAATACTTGCTGATATATAATACTTCAACATAATTCATATAAGCAAAAAAATCAGGAGAATGACAACAATTCAATATAAAAAGATAAACCACAATCCAACTCTGAGCAATATGGCTGAAGAGTAAAAGGTGCATCGGTAAGGTGGGAGGGGGGGAGAAGAGGTCGAGGAAATGCCCGGGACGAGATGGATCAGCTGGAGACCTTACGTAACACAGCCTTGACTCCAAGGAGGTATTTTTAGATGACCGCTCCTTTGCCTACCTCGCTGTCTTCCCCGATTTATTGATAGTGTCAGATCTCATAGGCTGTGAAACTTTCTGAGGATCTTGGTACGTGGTCTGATTAAAATCGATAACCAGATCGATAAATCAATCAAAGTACTTCAAGGTGGGACTACTTATTCCTAGAGGTGTACCGTAAGCCAAAATAAAACAAACGCTGCAAATTATTACACAATGGTTTATTATGTTCAATTATTTATACATCTAATATGTGTGGCGTGTCATACTGTGTTATTCCTTAGCAATTCTCAAAAAAAGAATACATACAAATTCAACTTCTTACGACAGTTTTACTGTTCATTTTTATTTAAAAAAAAAAAAAAAAAGAAAATCAAATCATATTTCAAATAACAAAATCGACTGCTTGAATATTCTCCTTATAAAAGGAAATAAAGCAACCTAGTTTGCATTTGAATATATGCAAAAAGTTCAAAACACTATATCTCTTCAACAAGTTGTCCAATTTCGATAATTTTTTTTTGTTTGGTCTTTAGGTGATTTCATGATCTTTCAAATACATAAACGTGTTTTTTAAAAAAGTAATTCACAACTAACATTCTGCATTAGTAATATCTTCTTTACTAGTTTCTTTTTGGTTGAGTATTTTACATATATTAATTTATAGAGCTTTAAGGAAAGTACTTTTCATCATAATGGTTACAGCTACAGTCAGTAGCGGCACATATTTTTCTGCCGCCATTTTGATACAAAAGAACGGATGGTAATGTTGAGTTTTTAAAAATTATTATTACAAGGTTTTAGATAGACGCCATTAGCCAATAATGTTTAGTTTGGAGGATCATGCTTGGGTGGCATTTAATCATGATTCCAAATTTAAAAACAATTGGTTCAGCAGTTTCGGAGAAAAGCCGCGGACAAAGAAACTTTTTGAAGTGAAAACATCTTTAGAGCGATTTTCATTTTTTTATGGAGAGTGAATTAGATTGATCCGTCAGTTGTTCGATGTGTAGCGCTCAGGTAAAGTCGGTTGGAGTTCACTAATTGAACTATTATTCAAATTGCAGCTAAACGCGATGTCGTGTTACGGATGCGAAGGAAAAAAATAGTGTCAACAACCAAATGATAATGATATTGAAGATATGGATTAAAATATCTCAGAAACTAAAAATCGAACCTGCATACTGTAAGCGAGGGAAATGTTCAGCATTTAATATTCTTTGTAATGAGCTATTATTTATAATATATATTTAACATTATTAATCTCGCCTTGGTAATGTTTTCACTTTTATCTCGTGGTCTAATGCACACACCGTAGTTTTTTTTTTTTTTTTTTTTAAGAATTTACGAAATTATAAATATCAAATTTTGAGGGAGGGAGGAGATCAAAACTTTGATTTTCTTGATCGATTAAAATGGTTCACTATTGAAAATAATAAACCAAAGTCGTTAAGAATTAAAATAAATGCATAATTGGGATTGCTATTTATTTCATTCCAAAATAGTTGAAGTCATTAAGGTAACTCCACACCAAATGATAACTTTTTTTTTTAATTTTAAGAATGTGGTTATCATTAAATATGTGTATTTAAAAGTTATTGTATAGTTAGTAAGTTGGCCATTCAAGTATAAAACACATTAAGTACTAAGCCTATATAGATTTTTTTTCTCTAAGTTAATTTGTCAGATAGATAAAATCTAAACATAAGCTAAAGAAGAAGCAGTGTCAAATGCTAGAGACTAGCAACCACTATGGGGAATTCGCTCTTACCACGCAGGAGTCGAGGACACTTAAAGCAACTGTAACAGAAAGGATGTCTTGGCCAACACACTAGAGCATTCCTCAGCTGGTCCGATTTCTGAAATTTACATTTCGGGTTTACAAAATCTTTTTCGAAATCACGCCACTCACAGATGACTAGCACGAAAACTCTGAACAGACAACGACCTTGTGCGCGTAGATCAACATGGCGAAAGTGAGTAACGGAATTCTGTTAGAAAGGAGTAGGGAAACACTACCTTGCCATCTCAAGATTATTTAAAATTATATTAATTATAAAAATAAAACAATTGTGAACATAAATTATGATAATTTATATAAATCAGTATGATATTAAAATACATTTGCAATGCGATAAGCTAAACGGTTAGTAGGAGAATACACGATGTATCTATGATTAGTAGTAAGGTTGATTATTTAAAATGGACCAAAATGTTCGAAATTGTCATTAAATTATCTGCAAATCTAAAATCAACAATTTTGTTTGCCTTACGCCGTAAAGCCTTTGGCAATTCCTTTAACTTAAACTCTGTTTCGCTATTTCAAAAAACTTAATGGATTTA